TTACTTGATAACCTTGGTGCTTGATGGCTGAGTCAGAACTCTCAAGCTTTGCTTCATGCTTTGACTTGGTAGTGTTAGGATGTATTTCAAGTGTCATTCCCTGAAAGATGGGTTCAGTTCTTTAACCACGAATGCTGTTTCGGAGTCAAAAAATGCAGATGAAGAGGAGCATTGTTTAGGTGCATATCAGATACATTCATTCGCTTGAAAAGGAAATTGAGTGGAATAAAATGAAACGACGCACACATGCCTCACTTACTCTGATGGTTTTGAGTTGAGATTTTAAATTAGATTAAAATGCTCTCCTTTTGTATCAAAGAAAAACAAATCTCTCTCACTTGGATTGAATTCAGCTTTTGATCGTATTGGTTATTAATTTATATTAATCTACTAATTTGAATGGACGTTTAAATTTGCTTAATAGACACAACAAATCAAACAAAAGAAGCAACAGAAATAATGTTGGGTGAAAGCGCTTGAGAATAACAAAGGGCAGTGCTTAAAGAATGCCCTTTTCTGTCAATAACGAGGGATACAAGGGCTTTTCAGCGAATTTAAACACCTTGGATATGTTTCTTTTTTGTGTTTTGACAAAGAACCCTTCATAGGGAAATCAATGCTTCATTTTAAAGGATTTGAATACTGTCTTGAGAGTTGGTCATTTATGCATAAAACTCAGAATATAGACATCTCAAGTTAAACTTCCATTCGGGATTTGTTTCTTATGCCACTTCTGCTGAACTTTGATGCTTCAGAAAACGTATTTTCTTGTTTTTTGAGCATGATCCAATGGAATACTTCCAACAAGTGGACTCTGTTCCAAAGGGAAAACTAACTGAACGAAAGAAAACAAGAAAAAGGCCGGCTATAATACTTAATAGTAGAAACAGTTGGGAGTGACTAAAAGCATACAGCTTCGGAAATTTCTTATCTACTGAAACAGACTTTTCAACCAGAATCAAAAGACGCCGGCATTGGAGTTTCTTTTGCTATAAGAAGGGTATGTTCCTGTTCATGGTTCACCACCATTTCCAGCTTTAAGCTACTCTTCTCTTGCTTTTATACCACTTGCTGTTGTGGTTTTCGTATTGTATATCATGAGACTTGCTCAAATTCTCACTCTTTTCTTGTTTATTAGATTTGCTCTGGTGCATGGAGTCACCAGCAATGCCAAGGCAAGTAGACAGATCACAGAGAAACTTAAATGTATAAGACGGGTTTTTTTTCATGTCGATTTGGGTGGGTGGTCTGATAGCGTTTTTTCTCTCCCTTTTTGGTTGATTTGCAGCATTACATTGTTTACATGGGGAAACACTCTCATCCCAACTCGGAATCTGTTATCAGAGCTAACCATGAGATGCTTGCTTCAGTTACTGGAAGGCATGCTCTAAGCAGTTACATATTGTCATCTGTTGATGATTGGTTCAGAAATTAATCGTTTGTTTAGATTGTTAATTTTCAGTAATGAACGTCCAAACCACTCATTCACAGATACCATGTCATGTTGTAATGACAAATCAAAGTTTTGCTACATCTTTTTTCAGTTTGGAAGAGGCGAAGGAAGCTGCACTGCACCATTACAGTAAAAGCTTTAGAGGTTTCTCAGCCATGCTTACACCAGAACAAGCTAAAAAATTTGCAGGTATTGTTTTGCAATTGTAATTTCATTTTGAGAGTCCACAAAAGAGAAACACAGCCAAAAAATCATGGTTCTTGTCCATGTTTACACTTGTAAGAAAGCAGCCTTACTAAACAGTTCATTTTCAGAGTCCATAGCAATCAGATAACACCGAGGATTATGCCATGTAAATTCTAACAAACAGGACTTGCACTGCAGAGAGCGACTGGATTGTTTCTGTGTTCGAAAGCAGGATGAATAAGGTTCATACCACACGTACATGGGATTTTCTAGGACTAGACTCCATTGAACAATATAAGCAGCTTCAGTTGGAATTGTCATCCAACGTTATTGTTGGTGTAATCGACACTGGTAACGCTTTGTATGCCTGCATGCTTACCTGATTCTTGCAATTTTCTTAACTAACCCCCCGTTTTCAAATTTATTCTTCAGGAATTTGGCCTGAATCAGAGAGCTTTAGCGATGAAGGATTGGGTCCAGTGCCTGGAAAATTCAAGGGAGAATGCGTACCCGGAGAACAGTTTGCATTGTCTAACTGCAATAGGTAGGTTGACGTTTCCCAAAGTCGAACCCTTATCTCATCATCTCATTAGTTTATAGCCATTTCGTTTTGCATTTTAGCCATACAATTTACCCGGTACAGTTAGAATTTGAATGATATGTAATTCGCATCAATGAAGCTATAAGCATCACACAACATAAATCAGCACAGAATAATCGCGAGTCCAATGAT